ATTATTATTATTATATATACTTACTATATATATATATATATATATATATATATATATATATATATATATATATATATATATATATATATATATATATATATATATATATATATAATACAAAATATATGTGCAAGTGTTTGAAAATGTTTGAAATTCAAATGTGCAAATTGCGCTAAACTACTGAATGGAATTTAAATTTAAGAACTTAAGATGCAAATTTTTAAATTCTGTTTTAGTGTGGTCTATAAACGTGTCTATAAACGTTTGCAAAGCTTTCTAGAAATAGTTTGTCAGAAACAGAGTGGTGCATGTATTCCGGTGATAGATTAATTATCAGTTTTTATCGATAAGCATAAATACCTTCGAAATGAGGGACACAAATGTGGAGCCCAATGTTGTCATCTGATAATCTCACTAACTGTGCTCTGTGACCTTATCGAATACAATCATTTGAGCTACAATTTAGGATCGAGGTTTTCGAAACGATTCCTTGAGTACTTGCAAACTGCAGCTGTATTTTTCGAAGGTTCCGTGTTGGCACTCGTAGGCCTTTCAAAGAGGTGGGGTGTGGAACTCGTTTTGCGTGAGCTATGTTTGCATGTGTCTCACGCACGTGACGTGCACAGAGTTGGTGCCTTACAAGCGTTTACGCTGCATCTGTTTAATTTACAAAATAAAGTTGACTATTTCGCCAGATTTTCGATCTTGAAGTAGCGATAAAACTCACTCATTCGTTAATACTCCGCTTTGTTTTGCGTTACTTTACACGTACATACGGTTTATGTTTGCGCTCGTCTGCCGGCTGACAGCACTTCATGAGTTGTTTCGGGTTGTCATGGGATGTGTGAGACATCTGGAATGTTGGATGTGAAATGTTTGAAATATCCCGAGATCTGGTGTGGAGACGAAATTCAATTTAAAAGTTTGTCATCAGCGTTATCGTCACCTTGTCTTCCATAAATGTGCATTTTATTTGAAACATAGGTAATTTAGAGAGGTTGCTAAAGCGTGCGTGTAACTCTGCGGAAGCAATTTAACAAAGGCAGGACAAAATGCCACGTGTCAAGAATGTTATGTCAAAGGTGTACAAAAGTCCGCGACGTCCATTCGAAAAGGAACGTCTTGATCAGGTCTGTGCATTCGTTTAAAAATGATGTTCGAAACTAGATTACATAATAAAAAAGTGTTGGGTCTTTAGATATGGGCAACTTTGGGCATTGGCTGGTCGTTCTCCATGTTTCAATTCCCTGATTTTCAGAAAACTAGACTTTCTGAACGAAATTTGCACAGTCAGTATATTACAGGAATTGAAACTAATTGGAGAGTTTGGTCTACGTAACAAACGTGAAGTATGGCGTGTGAAGTACACACTAGCGAAAATTAGAAAAGCTGCTCGGACATTGCTTACGCTTGAGGAGAAGGTTAGTTTGAATAGTTGATACAATGAAATTACTAAATTGGTGTAATGTGTGGAAAAAAGCAATTCGTTTGAAAAGTTATTGTAGTGGAACAAGCTATTTGTTTTAAAAGAAGTCATCTTGGTAAGGAATAAGTAGATCTAGTTCCTCTGAATAACATAATAACCATCGCTTGGTATTAATAAGCTGATCAAGTAATCCATTTAATGGTAGTAACATAGAGGAGGGTGTCGAAAAAGCAGTGGAAAATAAACTAATCATGAATTTTTGTTTTTTCTTCTTTTTTGCGTTTATAACCCAAAACGTTCGGTTGTTCTATAGAAAAGAAACTAATACATTTTCATGAATTTTTGTTATTTTCTTCTTTTTTGTGTTTGTAACCCAAAACGTTCGGTTGTTTTCAGGATCCAAGACGTTTGTTTGAAGGTAATGCATTGTTACGGCGTCTAGTTCGAATTGGTGTATTAAGTGAAGATCGCATGAAGCTCGATTATGTTTTGGGTTTACGAGTTGAAGATTTCTTAGAGCGTCGTTTACAAACTCAGGTTTTCAAACTTGGTTTAGCGAAATCTATTCATCATGCTCGTGTTTTGATCAGGCAAAAACATATACGGTATGTATCCTTGCTTTTCCTCTACTTGTTTCCTTCCATTTGTTCCAAAGTTTTATGGAAGCTAGGGGAGTCATGCTGTGTTTAGATTAATTTGATAGATAGCTATCTTACATAATATTACCTTATCATAACACTAATATTATCTTATCATGATTATTGCTAGCAGTAGCAAGTGTTTTGCTGTTAGGCTCTGAGTAATCTTGGAATTTCGTGAGTTTCGTGTCTTATGGTAAAAGATAACGGATACCTTTTTGAGCCTCATCCCCTTAAGAACAGTGAAATGATAAGTACAAAGATTTGAAGAATCACGAGGCATTTTGATTTAGCTTATTGAATTACTTTTGTTTTATTTTCTCTTTCTCATTCAGCGTTCGACGTCAAATTGTGAATGTGCCATCGTTTATTGTTCGTTTGGATTCGCAAAAGCACATTGATTTCTCATTAAAATCACCTTTCGGTGGTGGCCGTGCAGGACGAGTGAAAAGGCGTAATGCAAAGAAAGGCGTAAGCGGTGAAGATGAAGTTAGTGATGGAGATGAATAGAAGACTTTATAAGAATTAATTTTGTTTGTTATCATTCATCATTGTCATCCGCGCGGTCTCAAGATAAATGTTTTCCTGATTGCCGGTTGGCAAGCTTCTTCCATAAATTACTTACACTAATAGATGGTTCTCAGGCAGAATCGTGATAGGTACAGCATATAAAGTTTTACGAGGTTACATTTCCATCAGTGGGAATCCCTAGTTTTTATGTCTCCAGTACATGAATAACAAAAATGAGAACAGTATAGTGGTTGTGGTTCAATTCTGGTTTTTGGAATTAGGGCTGGTGCTTAGTACAGTTTATTTCTGGTTGCATCTGTCGGAAAATGAATATTTTCATATTCACCGACGGTTTGCTCAATTATGTTCCAAAAAAGGACCATTAAGTCAAGTATTTCTCAGATGTTTCAAGAATTGGCGACGAAATTTGCATAACTCAAAACTTCCTTGACGTCGAAGTTCAAAATCAGCGATTGCAAGAAGCGACATCATGGATGCAGGAGATTTCCCAAGGCGTATACTCTGTTCACACTCATTCTCAGCCCATGTCTACAAAAATTACTTTGTAAGCCTTGTCACTTGAATGAACCATTTCTAAGCTGTTAGTGGTTCTGAGAAATTTCGAAAATTGTTGATTATTTCTTTTTTGACAATTTTCTGGCAACCGCTATAAAGGGTGGCAGTGTTGGTTGGTTTTCTCTCCATTTTCGAAAAATGACAAAATTAACTTTTAAGTTGTTATAGCCTCCGTATATTTTCTATAAGTTGCTTGTTGGCAAATTATTTACCTGTGAAATGAATGAAACAATTTGCCCATTTTCTGATGCTAAATCTGTCAACTGATCAACATAATGAATATCCTTCAACATATAGGAATAATCGATCCATTTCCAGGATCTTAAATTTAGGATTCCCAATCTGAAAGATCAAAATTTATGAAGAAAATTTCTGTAGGATCGAATCGACCAACTTTTAGAAATGATGAAAGAAAATGGATCATCATGTAATATCACTAACCTGGCATATGGTCGTAATACTAAGCGATCCCTAATATAGTAAAGAAATGTTGTAATATATAGAATAATTGTTCCTAAAGTTTCCGCTTGTAGTTCGACGCTCAGAAAAAATAATCGTACAAAGCGTGTTTGTATCCATTGAAGTATCGAGCAAATTTGCCAACGCCAATGATTTGGTGGTGTTCGATAACGTGCAACTAAGCCAACCTTAAAAATTCTTTTACTTAATAATAATTATAACTACGTGGTAGATTAATTAGATTTGAATTTATCACATTGTTTTATCTTCTAATTATAACATTTTTTTATCAAACCTGTTGATTGCCATTTTGACAAATGAAACAATCAACAAGAATTGGTGTTTGTTGATATTCATCCCGAGGAAAACCACTAATTTCATCAGCTGATGCATTCCGTGAATACCACGTGAAATCGCTACAAAATAAATAGCGTATGGAAAATATAATTAAGTCATCATTTTTGCTACTTTTTTCTCCTTTCTCTTAATATTCTTTTTTTTTTGTTTTTTTTTGATAGAATATTAAAGTTTGCGATATTTGCTGTGAATAAATGAGATGAGGGAAAGTTTTTTTTTTAAATATATTCTTTTATTAAATTTTATAAGTTTTAATTAATCATCAAATTATTTTACTGGCAAATAATTCTCTTCAATAATTATATTTGCAAATAATAAATGTACAAAAATATACTAAAGTCTGTGGCTTTCACTATAATTGGGTCTGAAAAGATTAAAAAAAAAATCCTGCATTCATTAAGCAGAATAAATTGGCAACTTTTGATAAATTTCAAATTTACCGAATATTTTGATAGTTAAATAATTTTCTTAATTAATTATATTTGCAGGTAACAAGAAGGAAAAAAATTCTTATGAAATTTTAAAAATATACCTTAAATCTAAACAGCTGACATATGACGGTTCAATATTTAAGGTTAAACTATTGGTGGTTAGAAAGCAAAGGTCACGATCATTACGCGAAAAGAATGGTGCTATATAATGACAAATATTCAATGATAATGCTGCATGAAGTTCAGCATTCATCTAAAAATTAAGCAAAAATGAAAAAATGAAGTTAATTACATTAATTAATTAAACATTATGATTAATTATGGAAAAATAAAAAAAGTTCCTTAAAATATCCTAAAATTGAAGAAAAATTTTATACAATACTTTTTTTGTTATTGCAAGACTAAGCAATTAATGTCGCTATTATTAAATCATTAAAAGGGTCATATGTCCAGTGATCAAGGTAAATATTCTGTAAATATATCCAGAATATAATTAGAGAACGAAATTTCATTTACGTTGTTGACGTATACGGAAACATTAATTGGTGTATTAAATTCATTCGATTCAATTGGATCTTTTGGGATAATTAATACAACAAATTGTTCGTCTGCAAGTATCAATAATAATAATAATAAAAATAATCATAGTAGTAATAATAATAATGGTAATAATAATAATAATAATAATAATAATAATAATAATAATAATAATAATAATAATAATAATAATAATAATAATAATAATAATAATAATAATAATAATAATAATAATAATAATAATAATAATAATAATAATAATAATAATAATAATAATAATAATAATAATAATAATAATAATAATAATAATAATAATAATAATAATAATAATAATAATAATAA